CGTACCAAGGCCAACAACTGTGTCAGGTTTGGAAGAAATTGGTGCAGCGGCTACCAAAATATACAAATGTAACCATAAGTGGGCGTGGCTACGCCCATTTTCCAAAAAATTATAATATTTTTATTTTTCGTGCAAAAATTATTGTAGATATCAATTTTGAGTGAATTATCTTTTCGTATTTTTTAAATTATCGTTATATGGGAGGTAGGCGTGGTTATTGTCCGATTTTGCCCATTTTCAATACCATTCTTCCTACGCCCGAAGTTTCGGTAAGATATCTCAATTTTTCCTCGAGTTATCGTGTGCACAGACGGACGGACAGACAGTCACCGCTTAATCGATTTCTCTTTTCATTCTGATCATTTACGTATACATTTGTCTATATCTATCTCGATTCACTTTGCCTGTTACAAACAACCGTTATGTGAACAAAGTTATAATACCCTTGTGCACAAATGCGCTCGGGCATAAAAATACTAAAAAGTATCACACAAAAAATTTGTAAAATATATTCAGAAAAACGAAATGCAGCAATTAATGTTCAGACATGTCAACATAAACGTAATAATTTGCACAATAATAAAGCTTAAGTTTTAATTCTTTAAAATAAATCGGTTGGTTATTTTTTGATAAATTATGTCAACTGACTGAGTCTCAAAACTTTATCAAAGTTAGTTCCGACATTGCTTATTTTGCAATTGAACATGCTTTTACAACAATAATTTAATGAAAATTTTGCAATACCTGGTGCATTAAAATTCGAAAACATTTTAAATCTTTTTTGCTAGTTTCGATTCTAATTTAAGATTTACCTACATCAGTTACTTAATTTATTATCTAATACACATATGTATCTATTATTTTTCTATACTTACTCAGAAACATTTTTGGTTAAATTGTCCAAAAAAAAGAAGGATGAAATAGGCTTTCCATTATGAGGATTCCATTGATGCAAACATCGTGGTTCTTTGTCATGCATATAAACCTGATAGAAACGTATAACTCCATCAACACTACCTACGCCTAGAGTTGAACCATCGGGAGACAATGCCACCCAGCTTATAGTGCACAATTCATCAAATACTTTCAAATAACCTGTCGAAATAGCATTCGGTTGTATGACACCCATCTAAAATATAAATTAATAGTATTTGATATGCAATTTTAAATAAAATACATACTCCATATTCCGAAATTATAACGTTTATATTAAAACATTGCAACATTGATCCTCTCGCCCACACAATTAACTGACTGTCTTCGTCATCTTCACCGGGAACATCAATAAAAGGACACCATGATATTTTGTCATATTTGGGAGAGTAATTATTCAACGGATCATCTATTTTTACTAAAAGATTGCAAATCAAGGTGCCATCCACAAGATCTATTTTGTGTATATAAAGTGAGTTCATGTCAATCGAACCAAGTATACGCTCCTTTTCAATATGCGCAAATTGCAGGTCAAGGACTTCTCCCGTCATTCCCTTGATTAGTGCACGGAGTCCCGACTGAGCCTTTACAACACGAACCATGCCCTCAACTCGAGATAGTTTGTTATTAACTACAAGAAATGATTAAATACATTTTTGTAAACATATATGTATATGTATATATCGCCGCATGGGTAAAAGATTGTCGTATGTTAATTTCGGCAGGTTGTGGGAAATCGCGATTGAAGTTTGGAATGCAATATATCATAAACGCAAAGATAGATTTTCTCCAAAGTCTCGGAAAATGTTACTACTTCACAAAATTATTAAATTATCTAATTTTTAATGTTTATTGTTAATTAGTTTTGAGTTTATGAAGAAGTTTCTTTAATAAAATTTTGTCGTAAAAAAATTTCTACTAAATTAAC